GTGGCCGCTGACAATTTCACACGATGTCTGTGGCTGGCAGCCAGGGCCGCTGGCGTGCCACCCTAGACTAGGAACATGGGCAGGCATCCCATGCTTGGCGCACGCTCCGTTCTGCCCGCAGCAGGGAGGGGTTCAGAGACCCGGGGCCCCCCCTCGCAGTTCCTAGCCTGGCCCTGGAGTAGAGGATGGAGCTGGGGGGCAGGCGAGGAGGTGAGTGTGCAGAGCTCCACTGGGAGCCGTTGATGCTTTTCCCAGTGGGAGGACATGTGTGAGGTGTGTTTGGGGAACATTTGTTGGGGGAAGAGGTAGAGTGGACAAACCATGAATACAGGACAAGAAATCAGGAAGGTAGGGGACTGTTCCAGCCACTTCAATCCAGTGCAGATAAACCGCCTGGTGGATGAGTGCTTTCTCTCCAGTCTGAGCAAGAACACCGGAGCGTCCTCTTCCTTTTGCCGACCGAGTAAGGAAGCCGAACAGTCAACCTGTGGCCCAGATTCCCCTTCTGCCTCTGCTGATCCAAGGAGGCCAGGATCCCCACCTGGGTCCCTGCTGGGTCCCCGCTGGGCCCTGACCGAGCATTTTTTCCTCTGCTCCCTGGAAACACATTTCCCCATCGGTCACATTCCAGGAGAGGGTGAGGTGGATTTGACAAGTATCAGCCACAAAAGCCGCCTGGACAAAAGAAGTCTTTAAACCTTTGCTGAATACCAGCTTTTTGTGTAAATAATCAGGATGTTGAGAACTTATTTTTTTAACCTCTTTCTGGAAGGAAGGTAACTGTTTTGTGTTTTTTGTGTAAAAGAAAACACCTCCTGTTCCTCAGTCCGTTTCAAAGTACTGCCTGTGGTTTAAAAGCACAGAAATAATGCGTGTGGCCCGAAGCCCTTGCCGGCACAGGGAACGCGTCTAGGGCAGCCTGGCAAAGCGACGGGGATGGTCTGCAGCCGGCCAGGGCCGGGCCGCCTTCAGATGGTGCTGGGACGGGTGCTCCTGTCCGATTAGAGGGCAGGCCGTTTTCTTCTGTTTCAGATTGAAATCCAGGTATCTGTATGACCTGTGGCAGTTCTCATTTGTCCCGCCACAAAACACCATGAATGCTTGCTGAGGGGTTGGTTGCAAACATTCTTCTTAGAACAACCAGGTGACCTTGTATACGGAGCTCACGTAGGATACTGGCTTCTGAGGAGCTGTTGCTATAACCTGCAGGCCATCGGGTTTCTGATTCACAGGCTTTCTTTTTTAAAACGACGACTGATGGTTCTCGTTTTCACAGGCCGAACCTTTCCAACACACCCGTACTTCTCGGCCCAGCTGGGCGCGGGGCAGCTGTCCCTTTACAACATCCTGAAGGCCTACTCGCTTCTGGACCAGGAAGTGGGATACTGCCAAGGCCTCAGCTTCGTGGCCGGCATCCTGCTGCTGCACATGGGCGAGGAAGAGGCGTTTCACATGCTCAAGTTCCTGATGTTTGACCGGGGGCTGCGGAAGCAGTACCGGCCGGACATGATCATTTTACAGGTAGAACCTTCCGTGTGTCTTTGAGGGAGACAAAAGGCCAAAACGTTTATGATTCCTTTCCAGATCTAGTTAAAGAGCTTTTTCTTTAAAAACAAACAAACAAAAAAGAAAGTTTTATTTTTTAGTTACAGCTTACATTCAGTATTATTTTTTGTTAGTTTCAAGTGTACAGCATTGTGGTTAGACAATTCTATATATGCTTTACAGTGTTCGCCCGATATTTCCAGTACCCACCTGGCACCATGCCTAGGTACGACAGTGTTATTACTAAGGGGCTTTTCTACCATCAGTTAGCGTTATAATAGCGATCTTTGCTGAGAATGTACTCTCTGCGAGGCATGACCCCGGCTGTTTTGTAGGCACTGATCTCCTCACTGACCCTCAGGAACACACCATTCATTGGCTCAATTTATAGGTGGGAAAACTAAGGCTGGGGGGGGGGGGTGGTTATAGAATTTGACCAGGTCACACAGCTAGCCCCCCTGTGTCTAGGGCCCTCCCTTTTGTTCTTCATCAAAGCACCTTCAGACGGTCTAACTCCTATTTCCCACGGTGTTTGCTACTTCCTGTGCCAGGGTTCCCTCCCTTGTCATCCAGGGGTCGGCTCAAATACCACATCCTAGGAGAAGCTCCTCCTGACCACCACGTCCCCCCACGTCCACCCCAGGCATGTACACTGTATCAGGATATCTTGTCTCATTTCTTTTGCATCACACTCTCGCTGCCTGAAATTACCTGTTTATTTTCTGGATCCATCTTGGAGCTGCATCCGTAGTTCTTAGAACAACAGTGCCTGGGATGAAGTAGACACCCAGGCAGTGTTGGTTGAATGCATGAGTGATGGGAGGGAGGTCCTATCAATAGAAAAGCCAACAGCAGTGTGTTGTAAGTGCTGAGTGCTGATTCTGCACCTTCAGAAGTGGGAAAACCGGGTCCTACCTGGGGAATATTCCTGAATGTTGGATCATGTGTTTATGCGACCATTTACCAGAAAGATGCTGTGATTTCAAAGCCTCAGAAAGTATTCTTAGAAAGGTTACGTTAGCACCTTTTGTGTGGGTAAACGTCCAATTCACCTCCCCCTGACTATGAGCCACATGGACAGAGATCTCATAAAAGGAGGCCATTCCACTCACTAAAAGCTTTTGACACACATCACACTCTCCACGCATCCCGTCAGGTCCCTCCTGCATTCTGCCCTGTAGCTTTAATCCAGACGTCCCTGCCATATCAGAGCAGAATGTGCAAGTTTTATATCATTCAATATGGTAACACACAGCTCTCTTTTGGGGGCTTGTGACCTTGGTGATTCGATTCTTTTATATAAAAACAACAACAAGAGGCCACAGCTGGTACTTCAGAGGCCTGTGTTGTCTGTCCCTGGAAGCAGTTCTGTTCAGTTTGGACAGTGCACATCCAACCCCCAGCACCTCAGCAGGGAGCTGACCCGCTCTGGCTATCTTTTCTCTGGGTTGGGGCGGTGGGACTGCTGGGCTCTGGGCTGAGCCTGGGGCTCCCATGGGCTCCCTGTCAGACCTGCCCCACTCCACACAGGGAACCCTCTGCTTCAGCGTTGGGGGACCCGGAGGGAACTTACTAACTGAGCGGGTACAGCAGAACCTTCCACAGAAGCACCACCTGTGTTCGCTTCACTCTCGGCACGTTATTTCCGACTCCCTGGGTTTAAGTTTTGCTAGGAGTTGTATTTGTAGGAGAATTTATGAAGTGTTCCCACAAGACGGAAGTTTAGGTTCTCTCAGCCAAGGACACGAGGGGACGGTAAGAAGAAAGGAAGTGGTAGGAGACCCAGTGTTGGTGTTCTGGGCCTGCACCCGTCAGGGCCTCGCATGCAGTGAGCACCCAGGAAGCTCTGGTTGGATAAACGAGAAGCTGAGATCAGTGACCCAAAGAACAGATTATGCATCTGTGCATGACCCATGGTCACAGACAATAGTGCAGTGAAGGCCTGGGGGTGTGTGGGGTAGAGGGGGTCAATGGGAGGGGGCACATCTGTAATGCTTTCAACAATAAAGATACATTTTTTTAAAAAAAGGACATCCTGAGCCAAATAGAATGTTTCAGGTGCTAGGAAGTCTTCTCTGTCCTGTGAGTGGGGCAAGTCACTGCGCACGCGTAGGGACAGTGAGCGCTGACCCTGTGTCCCTGCAGATCCAGATGTACCAGCTCTCGCGGCTCCTCCACGACTACCACAGAGACCTCTACAACCACCTGGAGGAGCACGAGATCGGCCCCAGCCTCTACGCCGCGCCCTGGTTCCTCACCGTGTTCGCCTCCCAGTTCCCCCTGGGATTTGTGGCCAGAGTCTTCGGTAAGTGGGTGCACACGTTGCCAGAACCAGCATTCCCGTGTTCCATGTCACTCCACGGAGAGGCTTCTTGTTTTCCTACCTGTGTCTTCTGTGATAACAGGGTGTTGTTTGACACTAAATTTCAGGGTTGGGTTTTGTGAATTGCAAGACGGTCACTTCTGACAATCATCGGGCTCCCCTACATGCCTTCATGTGGGATGAAACCCGATTCCCTCACCACTGGGCTGACACATTACAGACTCGGCCAGGGAACCCCAGCCGATGTGCCAGAAGGCGTTTCCCAGCCTCCCTGACCTGTGATGCTCAATGTTCACCGATTGCCCGTTAGAACTTTTTGACCAGTGCCTTCTGGGCTGCTGTTCTTACTAGATTCTCTTTGCATCTCCCCCTCTCCTTTCTCTTTCCCTGCCCTGAGCTCTTGGTTTTCTCTGCCATCAGGCTCCTGGCGACACTTCCGAGTGGATGACTCACCGTTCCATCCTCAGTGTCCCCTGTCTGATCTTCCCAAATGTCTCACCCTCTGTAGCCCCTCTGTAGCCATAGGCTGTTCCCACTTCAAACCATCTCCCATTTTCTTGATTTATTTTTCAAGAAGATTGTCCCTGTCAAAGTAAAACAGGTATTCACGTGCAAAGTCTCAAAAACACCTTGTCTGTTATGCATCAATTAAAAAATAAAAAACAAAAACAATTTTAAAACATCCTTGGGTGGCAGGGAAGGCGCATTCTCTTGGATGCCAGGAGCCCAGTGGAACACTGAGCGCAGCCAGTGCTTGTACCAGGTGCTCTCCCTACTGCAGAATGAAATAATAACTGACAATTCAGGTTCTTTGTATTTTATTTTCTGTGGAGGGGGAGGTTATTAAAAAATTGATGGTCCTGCCCTGACCGGTTTGGCTCAGTGGATAGAGCGTCAGCCTGAGGACTGAAAGGTCCCAGGTTCGATTCCGGTCAAGGGCATGTACCTTGGTTGTGGGCACATCCGCAGTAGGAGGTGTGCAGGAGGCAGCTGATCGATGTTTCTCTCTCACTGATGTTTCTAACTCTCTATCCCTCTCCCTTCCTCTCTGTAAAAAAATCAATAAAATATATTTTAAAAAATTGTTTAAAAAATTGATGGTCCCTCCCAACATCAGGTGGTTTTAAAGTGCCATTTATGTTCAGTAACTTGATAGCTTAAAGATCTGTAATCTTACCAACTCTTTTTTACATTTGTTTTTAGAATTAGGGAACATCTAAAGGGGAAGTAGGGGATGTTCACAAACATTGGGAGAGTACATACTATATTAGGCAGCTTTGGGTAAATAGCTTGTATATCCAAATTCTAGAAATCCTAAAATTTGCTTTTTAATATAAGTGGGTGTTGAGTTATCGTCTTGCCTCTCCCCCGCCCCACCAAAGTGTTAGATTTTCATTTTCACTTCTATCCAGTAGAACTTTTAAAGAAGTTCGCATTTGACTTTACTAGAAGAATCTTCGTTTTTAAAATGTTTACTAACCCCCTCTTTTGTATAGCTACCTCCCAAGTGCATTTTTATTTTCTGTTCCTAAAAAAATAAGCATTGAAGAAAAGAGATACTCAATACACTCTTCCTGGTGAAACAAATTGTTAGTGAGAGTTCATGAAGGGTTTATACTATTGTTTAAAAGGAACTAAAAGCCTCAAAAGTGTCTGCTTAGTTTACTAACAAGAGTCACACGAACTGTAAGCTCTCCAACCGGAAGCTTCAGTCTTTCTTGCCTAAAATTTTGTGTATTTTACTTTTCTTACTCTGGAAATTCAGAGAGAGTCTTAACAGGATAATGGAGAGAGGTGGAGATTGAGAGGGCGGGAGCGGGGTGTTGTGAATGGTTTGAAACAGCTCAGACATCAAATTACAGGGTGGGAAGGGGACTGGGCAGGAGGGCCAGCGCTGAGTTATCCCTGCTGCTGGCCACAGGCACCAGAGCTGCTGCCTGCAGACGGTCCTGGGCTCCAGGGCCACAAATCTCTAGGAAAACATCTCCCCTTAGGCTGCATCCGTGGGTAGGAGGCACTGACAACAAACAAGCAAACTCCGCTTTGGAAATGAGTATTCGGAACTCTGTGAAGCTCATCCCAATGACTTCACAGATAAAAGCTGGAAAAAAAACCCCCACCTATTTCTCACTATGTTCTGTAGTCAGTGGTGGGATTGGAGTTTCTTATACATTTACATAAAGATGATTCCTGGGCCTCACAGACCCCTGCTGTCCGAGTTCACGTCCTGCTGGCTAGGGGCTCAGGGCGCCTGGAGTTGTAGGCAGGAAGTGAGAGCTCAAGGCACACTGTGTCATGATGTCATTTTGCAAAAAAAACAACTCTACTTTTTTTTTTTTTTTTTTGCACAATCCATTCCATGTATCAGTCCTTAAAAACAAACTGTTTTATTGGAAAAGATAGGTTTTTAAAAACCATTTCTGTACCTAGCATCGGCAGCTTGAACCATGTTTGTTTAAACCCCTGTCATGGTGGATTGCTCAGTTTTAAATCCAAAGCGTGCCATTCATACACTGGAGTCTTTTTTGGTCTGAAGCCCATTTCATTATAAGTCTTTAGGCCTGGATAAACCCTGAAAACAAATGGACCTTTGTTAGCTCTTCACAATTGTATACGTAAGTAAAGGATTCTCAGCGTGCAGTCAGCATGGCTCCTATACTAATTAATAGGTCACCTCGAATTTAAGTGTATGCTGCTTGCAGGGGCAGCTGCCAATGATGTATGTTCCTTGACCTTCATCATTAAGGCGCCTGGTAATGACGCTTTTCTGAAAGTCAGTCCTTCCGTGTGGGCGTCACATGGTGTAAAATAGCCTCCTCCTGTATTTTCCTGTTCGGGTGTAGAGGGGTCTGCCTTTGGGGGTAAAGGACCAGGCTTGCTCCTAATGGAAGAGGAGGCTCCTGAAGGTTTCGATAGGATGTATTCCAGGTAGATGCGCGAGGAGATGGGATGTAAAAACTAGGGGCTTGGCAAAAAAACAGAAGCCACCTGTAATGTGAGGAAGGCTTCAGAGAGGCTCAAGGACTAAAATAGACAGGTGAGCAAGATTGTTTGTACAGCCAGGAAAAATGGTTCTTTGGCAGCATGGCACAGTGCTGATGAAGGGAGTGTTTGCAGAATCTGTTAGGGCTGTCACCACGCTTCGTTCCCCTCCAACCTGTTCCTGGTCGCAGCGGAGGACCGTGGCCTCCCCCAGGAAGTTAGGCAGAATGATTGCCCTTGACAAAGACAAAGGTGGCTGGAAAAGATGCAGGATGCGTTCGCTCCCTGGCCGTGCGCTTGGCGTTTATCATTACCCCCCAGGAAAATTGCCCTTTTATGTCATGGGGAGTTTCAAATAGAGTGTCCGTACCCGTTAGCACAGTAACAGGGCTGCCAGAGCATCTTCAAAGGGAAGTAGCTATTCGCGTTGTTCTCAGCAAATAACTTGTCAAGTGCAGGAGTCAGCTGAATTTAAGGTTCCCTTTACTTCCTGCCTGGTAGAGCCCTGAGCCTGTTTCTGGGTGGCGTGAGAAAGGAGAGAAGAAAGGAGTCAGCCCGTGCTGTGAGCTGGGCAGTGCAGGGCTGTGGGGTGATTTCTTGTGCAGTGATTTTCAAATGCGGGAAATTTTCCCAAGGAAATTATTGTGTGTGTTTAAAAAAAATGTTTCTTTTTACTTTTATTGATTTCAAAGAGGAAGGAAAAGGGAGAAAGATAGAAACATCAATGATGAGAGAGAATCATTGATCAGCTGCCTATTGCACGCCCCACACTGGGGATTGAGCCACAACCCAGGCATGTGCCCTGATTGGGAATCGAACCGCCACCTCCTGGTTCATAGCTTTGCCTCAACCACTGAGCCACGCCAGTCAGACAGGAATATATGTATTTTTTATTACATTAAATACAGACCATTAGACCCAATGAAATAAATATATCCAGTTATATTTTATTGTGTGTTTTTTAACATACTAATGAAGAGAGTTAAAAAAACACTCAACTCTCTAAAATTCTTTTTGTTTTTTTCATACAATCCAGAAAAGTCTGAGTCTAGAGTGCACTCTACTAAGTAGACTTGTTATAAACACCAAGTTCATAAAGGAATAAAACTTGGAGGACTCATTGCTAATCTTAAGAGACTGCTGATATGGATTACGTATTTGTTTATGCTCAAAAGCTCCCCAATAATTATTTAATTGGCGTGGGTACTGTACTGTATCTAATTTTTAAATTGAATTTATTGGGATGACATTGGTCAATAAAGTTATGTAGGTTTCAGGTGTACAGTTCTATAACACATCAGCTGTATATTGTGTGTTCACCACCCCAAATGGTACTGTATCTAGTTTTAAGGTACTTGTCCCTCAGAGACCAACGACAGGGAACTGTCACTATAGGATATACTTCCAGGTAGTGCAGTCTGTTCCCTGGACCCCTGACTAAAATGTCCTAAATATTCTGACAAATGCCATCAGGTTTTGTTCAGCTATAAATGTTCATATACTGAAAGGAAGGCTTCGTGTCTAAACCAGGGAATCTTCAAATTTACTCTTTTTCTTTTGAAATGTCTTTTCTGTGTAAAAATGCATTGTGGTTATGGTGGTATTTTAAGTCTCTATTTTCTGCAGTGGTGCTTACATGGGTAAACACTGTGTTTTGTGAAGCAGACATTCCACGGGGAGATTCTTCCACGGCACTGCCTTAGACACGGGTACTTCCCCTAAGACTCGACATTCAGAGATCAGCCTCTGCAGCCAAACCGGAGGGAGGCAGCCGTGGAAACTTCTGGTCCCTGGGGGCTGCCCGGAGTCACAAGCAGTTGTGACGTTTGTGGACTCTGTGGCCCTGAGCCCTGAGAGAGACGGGCCGACCTCAGCACAGCATCGCTTAGGGCCCTGCCCAACCGGCACCAGGTGTGCTCAGGAGGTCAAGGCCTCGTGCAGGTCACAGCGCACCTCCCAGGCTGGCCGGGCCAGGTGAACCTCGGACTGTCCCTGTGTGTGATCCACACACCACCCTGACACCTTTCCCTTTCGCACGGCGGCATCCAGCCACTTCTGTCTTCCTCTACTTGATGGAATTTCCAGCTTCTTGGTCTCTTCCATTGCCCTGTAGCCAGAGGGAGAGACAGATTGTCAGTTACCTCTAATTAGATTCATGCTCTCATCTTTAAACTATATCTTTTCTTATATGTACATTAGAGGCCTGGTGCACCACATTCATGCATGGGATCATACAGTACATGGGCGTCTTTGACTCAACATAATGTTTTCAAGGTTCATTCATGCAGTAGCATGCAGCAGGACCTCTTTTTATTGCTGAATTCAGGTAATTCTTAATGTCTCTTCACTTTAATGCATATTTCTGAATT